CCTTATTAGCACACTAGACGAGAGCAGCAGCATGAATGTCCAATCCAACAAATTTAAAACAGCAGTTTCTCACCATGAATGTCCTGCATTGGCGAATTAAAGAACATGAAATAATGCATGCTTTTTTTTTTCGGGTTAATCTGAGTGATAAGAGATGCACATTTTTATTTGTTGAGTGACAAAAACAATGAATATGTCGTCGTTAGTTGAATGCCAATTCTGAATAAAGAATAAGTTTACTGATCGAAAGACGTAATCTTAAATAATCTAAAGCCATTTCCTCTTATGTAAAAGAAATAATCCCCAGTCATGGATCTTGTTAGTCAAAAGAAGTTAGATTCCAGTTCCAATCAAGTTGTAAGAGCAGTAGACTATCGTCCAAAGAGCATCATTGACCCTACGTTTTTCAGTTGCTTTGGAGCGATAATCAAAGTTGCAGACAACAGAATACTGATAACATTGACGTCTCACAGAAGCTGCTCAGTGATAATAATAGCATCCGCATCTCTCCATTTGAAAATTTAGTTATGATCACATCACCAGAAAAGAAACCCATGTTTTCTTTCCAAATTTCCAAGTAAAATAACCTACTTGAAAGAAGCAGGCACCAGGACAAATTTACATCTGGCCATACAATAATATACCCTAATGTTGTGTGGTCCGAAAAGATTTGTACAGCTGAAAAAGAAATGTAACACTAGTCACAGTTGAATATTATGCATGAAGTAGACCAATGGCCCCAGATGCATGAGAGCCAGAAGGACCCAAAATTGACAGTGAAAGAAGTCACATGACTACACTGCTCTTCTGGAAAATGACCACATTTCAGATCTCAGGGAAGGAGAAGGGTGTTGTGTGTGTGTGTGTGTGTGTGTGTGTATTTTTTTTTTTTACAGCTATTGTGAAATAAAATTTACAACTACCTAATACCAACTATATTTAAAAGGATTGCATATAAAACAGGAAAAAGTCCAAAGGAACCAACTGTCATTAGCAAATTAAGTATTGGTTCAGAAGGTGTGTACATATCAAGGCATCCCTCTGGTTCCGCTCATTGCTGATTAAGATTTCGATAAGTCCAGTCTAGAATATGACTACTACTTACTCTTATAGAACTGGAAAGCAAAGATGCAATGAACTTAATACTCCTGATTCCTGCACGCCAGAAATGAGAAGCCTCAGGTCCACAACTGCTGGAGACGAAATTGCCAGCACATTCATCTGGAGCTTTTGCACTGGGGCATTGCTATTTGCATAAAGAAATTCAACTTCACAATTTTGAGGAGCCAAGATGCAGTTAAAATAAAAGGACAGACAAGTCGGCAAAAATCCAATTATATGTTCTTGTAAATTTAGTTCGCCTATCTAAAGTAAATTTACCAGCTTTTCACTCAATAATTCTAATACATAGCAGCACTAAGAGTCTCAGTCCACTTGGATCTTCACACAATGGAAAGATCAATACAGCTTAGAACCCAAATTGCTATTGGCCGTTGCAGCAACAAGAACAACTTCATGATTTTCATCCTATACACAAGCCCTCCCTGTCAAATTTGTCCTGGCCTTAGTCACGAAGAGAACTTGCTCGTGTCCAAATATGAGTGGTTACTTGTCCTGATCTAGCGTTATAATTTAGAGGAACGTCCATCCTAATTCAACTATTTAACGAACCAGTTTTAACTGAAATGGTGACTTATCGACCGACAAATATGTCAACTCATTTCTTGTTCTTGTAACTGACCAACAAATACAGACCACAATTTCATTTCTTGTATTCACCGACACAAACAAGGCGAGCTATAGGGTGACTATTAACAAAATCCCTGATAGAGCTCCTATTCAACCAAGTCCATGCTTACTGCCATCTTTGCTTATAGGAAGGATTAGCAGACACATGAAAATAACACGACGAAAGCACCATGCGTTAAATCACAAATGCCAACTCCCTTGACAATTGTACCCGTCAATGAGGGTTCCCAAGCTATCCACTTGCAGTATAACCATAGCCAATTAGAAAAAATCGGCCCACTGATTGGTCTCTAACACGTGCTAGATTTATTGATCTTCGGTTCCTTGTGGTCCTGGAATATCCCCACCAAATCTATAGTTCAGATTTCATGGCGTGACCTTGAATTCTAAATGGGACCTAAATACATCTTAAATCACAACTTAAAGTCTAACTATGTCCATGGAAAGTACAAACGTGCTCCTATTTTTGTAAGGACCAAAAAAATAATTATAACAAATAAGAAGGCCACACTAATTAAACATATTGGGCCGTATTGTTATTTCTATACATTTAGAGGCAACATAGAACTGACAATCAAATTTACCTAGCAAGCAAGCGATCAAATAAATCTAATTGTGGACAGACAGAAAGGACGATACAAGAGCGTGCACTCAATTTGGACAGCATTTCAATCAGGCGCCAATTTTGACAGCATGAGCACTAAGAAGTTTAAATTGTGCAGACGGTAAGAAACAACTCTAAAAGCTAATCAGAGTGAACACCAATTTAAAGAATGGGAACATCTCCAATCTTTCCACAACGATCCACCAAATAAAATCTAGAGGACCTCATTTAGCTGAAACAGGGAAAGATACGAAATACTAAATTCAATTGGGAATGCGAAACCCTATCAACATATTTAGTGTGGATAACAAGGAGAAAGGAAAATCACACGAACAGATATCTTAACATCTTTTTCAGAACTTTGCTGCCGACGACAGGATTATAGAATAGAAGTTTCTTTTTTCTTTTTTCAAGCAACATGTATACAAGGAAAACTCAACTGCAAGTAGAATCATAATGTCAAACTTCTTATCCACTGAGACATCCTTTTCTGTGATCTTTTTCCGAGCAAAATTACCAAATACACACAGAGATAAGCCCACATATCCTTTTAATGGAATAAATTAGCTTTCCTATCTTAGACCATTAGTCTAGTCGATCACTGGAACATGACACCAATTTTACCACAGGAAGATAAGAAATCTTCAAAACTTGAACACATCTTCTTCTGAAAATCAGTAAAAAGGAACCATAAACCAGATGTTCAATATTCTATACATACAACTTTTTCTTTTTCATGTTTTCTGCAGTATAGATGAACATATACTAACAACTTTATGAAAAAATGTGTAGATAATTCAACACAGGAAGTTGACTGTTAGATTACACCAATTGAGTCTCATGAGTCACAACCACATCCTGTGCTCCACCTCTCCCACCAAAAAAGCAAAAAAGCAACAAGAAAGCAAATTCTTAGAACAACTTCCATATCATTATGTCTTACTGACAAAGCACATTAAAAACATTACTGACCCCTAATCCTTCAGGTGCCCACAATTTTTCATCATTCTGAAGAAGATTACAGAATTATGTCAGACTATAGTGTTATAAAAAGAAGTTTCTTTGATCTCTCATGCAAATATAGGAACTAATGATGTACTGAATTAAATTTACTATTTCTGTTTAAGGTGTTGCTCAGATTAGATAAGTTTAATTTCCATCATTCAGAAGTTGTACTGGATTTTGCAGGACATAAGGTCCATTCCTCACTTCATTTCCTGTATCCGTTTCTTAAAATAGTACAATAGATGGTTAATGGTCCTAGCCAAACCTCCCATCATCAAAATGTGGCTTTCATTTTCAGTGAAAGGGACCAAATGATTCCCATGAAAACAGTACATAGATCAATAAAAGTGAATTACGCTCACCAAGCTAAAACCTTAGAGACAGTATGCCAACAGTTAACTGCTTTGCATTGGATTAAAAAAGATCAAGAAATAGAGCTCACTGAACAAAAGCAACAAAACACTTTAGTTGCTTCTTCAGTAAATGTGGTTTGAATAATCAGAATACTGAGTAACATATTATATCAAGAAGTATAGTTATGATACATTCAGTTGATAATAACTAACAACCTGAGCAAGACACTACCAAACCAAAAGGCTGAGCCAAAAATACACAACCAAACCAAAGCAGAATACTAGAACAAGTACCAACTCAGTAGAGCAAGAAAGAGGAGCATAAACTTAAAAATACAAGAATAAATGCAGGTACTATTTTTTATTCCCTAAAAACCCAGACAATGAAAGTCATGTCAAGTAAAGAACAAAGAATATTTTGTTAGGAGTAACCTTAGAACCATCCACAGTATCTTCCTATTGAGGAACAATTGCTGAGCCTATAATTCTTAATTCCACCATCCATTGTTCTTCTCCATCTTATATAGTGTTGTTAAACATGAAAAATGAAAACAGTGCTCTAACTAGAACTAAACAGTTCATATCAAAAGCTGAAAATTCTTAACATTGGACACGGAATAGCAATGATTGCACCCGCAATATCTTCCTTTTGAGGAACAATTGCTGACCCTAGACATCTTAATTCCACCACTCATTGTTCTTTACCATCTTACGTAGTGTTGTTAAACATGAAAATACAAGACAGTGCTCTAAATAGAACTAAACAGTTCATACCAAAAGCTAAAAATTCTCAACATTGGATACAGAACAGAAATGATTGCATCATGTTCTCCAAAACCTAAAGAGCACAGTCAAGAAAAACCCTTCTTGAATGTTTTCACTAAATGTCTACTCCTTATGTTAGTCAATAATTTTCTTTTTCCTAGATGCATTAGCAGCATTTTTTCCCATCTACTTAATCATCTTCTACCTCTGGTTATCCAGCAATTATTTCTATTGATCAAGCAATCAAAATCAGCTTCACCGTACCAATCACCAATATGGAATTTGATCTTTGTAAATGCAAATTGACATCTTCAATAGCAAATGGTTCGCAATAGTTGTGATCATTATACAATGCATAAGAAGCAAATTTAGGACTAACTCATTATTAAATGAACGATGACACGTTTAATTCTGATTTAGCAATAGTGCAACCAATAGATATTTCTAAATGTCCACACAGACATATCCAATATTCATTTTCTTTTTTTTCTTTTTTGTTCCCCCGTCAGGTTACCAAGAATCAGTTAAAATAAAAGGGAAATATAATTTTTTTTATTTAATAAATTCGATTATCAGATCAAGATACATCAGAAATTCATGTCACCTCCGTGTACAGCTGCGTATCTCATTTTCTAGATACTTCATCTACACTAACCGGACAAGAAAAGCACATGCAAGGTCAGAAAACAGAAGAGCTTCCCCTAGACCACAACCAAAGAGAAAAAAGCAACTATGATACAAAAGCTACACTGATAGAAGTAGCCAAAGAGAGATACCCTTTTCTCTTCTTTCTCTGCCTATTCAGTGTCTGAAGGCAAAGCGTAAGGGGCACCTTCGAGCACTAGATTCTGCAAACCAGGTTTTAATTCCCGATTACAGAAGTCCTCGTACTCTACTCTGTCTCCTCCTTTCTTCTTCACCTCAACAACTCTCAAAGATGGTGTCAATTCAAATATCTCAGCTGCAATCGTCAATGGACCCTTCACACCCTCTCTTGACCCCTCCAAATTTACTCTACAATCCTTCTTCCTTACTGTAAAACTCACAACCTTGGCAATCTCTTCCAACTTGGATATAATCTTTGGTACCGGAGCCCCTGAAACGAACCTTGCTCCATCAGTTCCTTCCTCAAATAAACCAGACAAATCAAAACCACGCGAAAACGAAATAATATCAAATGCATTCAAACTAGCTGGCCTAGGTAAAGTAGCCAATCTCCTCCTGCTCTCAACTTCAGGTTCAGGCTCAGAGAAAGACTGATCAGACTCAAACCCATCACCCTCACCCAGTGTCTCACCCCGACCACCCTCACAAACTTCATCGTTTACACTGCATAATTTATCATCCTCAATATAAAACTTGATATGCTTAAACCCCTTCTTAAACCACCTATTCTCCATTATCTCTGCAATCGTAATCCGAGTCTCGGGATTTGTATCAAGGATTCGAGTTAAAAACCGAGTCAATTCGGGAGAAAACCATCTAGGACACCTGAATTCACCCTTATAAATCTTCTTATACATAGCCATAACATTTTGATCATGAAATGGTAAATACCCTGCCATTAACACAAACAAAATCACCCCACATGACCAAATATCAACTTTAGCAGCATCATACCCTTTTCTTGCCAAAACTTCAGGTGCAACATAAGCTGGAGTACCACAAAAGGTATGAAAAAGACCGTCTTGCTTAATCTGCTCGGAAATAGCACTAAGCCCAAAATCAGAAACCTTAAGATTACCATCTTCATCCAACAATATATTCTCAGGTTTAAGATCTCTATGATAAACACCTCTAGCATGACAAAAACCAACTGCAGAAATCAATTGCTGAAAATATTTTCTAGCTACCTCTTCTTTAAGCCTCCCTTTTGCAACCTTATTGAATAGCTCCCCACCCTTAACATACTCCATCACAAAATAGATCTTGGACTTTGTAGCCATCACCTCAAACAATTGAACAATATTGGGATGCCTTACTCTTCTCAAGATAGAGATCTCCCTTTTAATATGAGCAATCAGCCCAATTTTCAGCACCCTTTCTTTATCAATAATCTTGATTGCTACATTTTCATTTGTCTTCACATTTCTAGCATGATAAACCTTAGCAAAGGTCCCATGGCCTAACAATTTCCCGATTTCGTACCGGCCTAATATCAAGCCTTGCAATTCCTTCTTCCTGGAGCTGGTACTTGTTGCTGCTGTTGGTGCTGCCGGAGCTGCTGCAGCCATGGTGCAAAATCTCGAGATAAACTCAAAAGGGTCGGTCCAAATCCCAAAAGGGTTAATCAATTTCACAAAATTGAATTCTAGTTTGATCGTATAGACAAGAATGGGATTTGAACAATTCAGGTGTTCGGAGGCGGCGTTATTTCCATAACAGGGGGAAGATGGAGAAGGGAGGCAGCCAAGAAAGGAGGGTGTCTTTCCTGTGTTGCTTGACGTCCGCCGTTTGGACTTTTTTGTTTTTTTTTGAGGTTTCTGAGGTGTAGAAATAAAAGAGTTCTGCAATGATTGTGGAAAAATGGTATTTATAGGCTGGTTAATAAAGGTAAATTCAATGGAGAGAGAAAGAGAGAAGGAGAGAGTTAGAGGAGTTGTAGGAGTAATTTAGTACTGTTATGTGTGAAGCAGATTCTAGCGTCTCATGTTTTACAGCTGGAGGCAGATTTATCATTTGACTGTAACGGCTATTCATTTATTTACAGAAATAATTTTGGGTATAATTACGTAAACCACTCTTGAGATTTCTGATAATTGCAGCCACTTTCATTAGAGTTTGAAAAATTATATGTACCTCCTTTTAGTGTTATGAAATAATTATAATAAGCTTGACAACTCTACAAATCGTAAGTGAAAAATGGATACAAAGAAAAAAAATCATATTTTACAAATTTTTTTATCCAAAAATGCTAACCTCATTTCACCTAATACATTATATTCAATTCGTAAGTAACTTGAATGGATTTCTTATTTAATCTTATAAATAGCTAACTAGTAAGGATGCATTTTTTAAAATTAGTTTCTTCACAACTTACTTAAAAAAGAAAAAAAAAAGTTCAATCATTAAAAAATGATGCTTTGAAGCATGACCTAAATTTTGCTGCAAAGAACCATCTTAAAATTTTTTCTACATAGCAAGTAATGTTGATATTTGATTTCTTTTGTCATTTAATTTATTTTGTAAATCAAATAGGAGCAATATAGGGTATTCATTGAGCTCTCTGTGCTTACATCACCATTTGTTACGAAAATATGCTTTTTAGGGGAGGTCTCCATAATTTTTCAGACCTCAAGGGAGGTGGCTGCAATTGTTCCAAAACTCAAGAGAAGTTTTTGAAATTATCCCACAATTTTGGATGCAATTTGGCAAATGATTGAGAAATTATTTTGGTTAAATGTAAAATGGGAATTGTTGATGGATATGCTTGATCTTGATGACACTCTTTTTTTTTTTTAACAGTTCTACTCATGTGAAATGGTAAAAAAAAAAAAAAAAAATGTCATACTCTTCATGTTAATTACAACTTCATAAAAGTGGTGGTAGTAAATTTAATGAAGGTTGTGGATATTTTTGTCTAATCAAAATGTTGAAAAGGTTAAATGAATTTAACGAAGGATGTGGATATTTGGAGGCTACATCAAGATGTTTCCTTTTTGACAAAAAAAAAATCAAGATGTTTCCTGATGAAAGATCATGATGATGTGTGAATTGTGATAAATGGTTGGTAATATGACCCACACTTAGAGAAGTGCCGAGGTAAAAATTGCAGATTCGAATATTCCATCATTCATTTCTTTTTATTCTCACCGGTCACTGCTATTTGAACACCAATCTTTGTCGTTTCGAATCCGTCAACTGACAAGCAACGGATGTTGGTCCAAAGTGTAAGAGATTTGCATCTCTTAATCATAAGAATCGTACAATGAATGTGGATACCGTGGTTCATATTAAAAAAAAAAAAAAAAATCTGTCAAACGTCAAGAAGAGGCATGTCAAAATTTTATATTTTTTGGTTTGTAATAAAATTTTGTCATAATTTTGTTTGGATTCTAGTGCTGTAAGACAAAATTTTATGAGTATTTTTTTTGAACATATTTTTCAATCAATTTTTTACGTTAAATATATTAAATTATTATACCATACTTTTTTTTGATCGGATTCAATTGCTTGTTCGGTCAAACTAGAGATCCAACCTTATATAATGCCCAGATCATTGGGTTGACCAGTTCAACTATCGAACTGGGCTGGATTTTGGATACGGTATTATTTGAAATATTATTTGGAATAATTACTGTAGCACTTTTTGTGATGTAATGTATGTGAGATAAAAAGGTGGTTGGAAATATAAAAAGGTGGGTTGAAAAATGTGTTTATGATGCAAGCAAAATATTATTTGGGTAAATTTTGTATCCAAACACTCCCGATCCAAACTAGCCTCAATTTTGAGGCGCAATACAATTTTGCATATAATGCAAGACTATACACTCATTAACTTCAACAAAAACAGTGGACTTAAGGACAATTGACGGAGAGAGTTTGAATGATTATGTGAGCTGAGAACAATTAATACTGGCAGTAATTATAGTACGAACCAGAACTGGATTAATTTATGCTTGGAATGACTAGCAAAAGGGGAATGGATTGAAAATGGTGATAAACACAGTTAAAAATTCTACTCAAAGAAGTGTATTTACTCCTAATTAGTACTTTGGTTTGAGTCATTTAATCATCCAGAATGCGTTGCTCTTCAAAATTATAGTAATTGACAGTTGTATAACAGGGAAAAAAAAAGGATAAATTTATGCTTGGAATGACTAGCAAAAGGGGAATGGATTGAAAATGGTGATAAACACAGTTAAAAATTCTCCTCAAAGATCTGTATTTACTCCTAATTAGTACTTTGGTTTGAGTCATTTAATAATCCAGAATGCGTTACTCTTCAAAATTATAGTAATTGACAGTTGTATAACAGGGAAAAAAAAAGGATAACAATAATTCAGATGTTTTTAACCATCTCCTTAAGATTGAGGGTACATTTGATAAATTTGAAATCTAAAATTTGAAGTCTAAAATATGAAATCGAAATTCTGAATTTATTAAATTACTGAATTATTAAGTATCAAAATCTTAATTGAATGCATTAAATTTAAATGCTGATGGACACTATGTTTCTTTAGTCCTACTTCAATTGTTAGCTTAATTTTCTTGTTTCTTTTTCTATCGGCTTGAAATAGGAATCTTATGTGCTTGTAGCAAATTACTCAAATCATAAGTCTTAATAAGCTAGATTCCTGTTCAGAATAAGGATTATATATACACATGACAACAATTTCAACTGAATGATTCAAGAGTTTTCCATGAATAACAGGATAACAGGAAAGGAGAGGGTTAATTAAAAGAATTAATATATCACCACCTGGTCACCAATGGTTGATTAATTCTTTGGCAACATAAAATTTAATGCAACTCAGTTTATGGAAGATTAGGGCAAATCTTTCTTCTAAAGTAATCAATAGTTAACAATTTCAATTGTTTATTAAACCATACGCAAGAAATTAATTAGGTCCTACGTTTGACTTCCTGTCTATGAATGTCAAACTGCCATTTCAGCAGAACCATTACGTGCTACAAACTTAATGATTGTGTTCTAATCTGAATAGTTCCTGAAAACAATTACTTGACGGAATCACTAAGTAAAACATTATTACTTTAAAGACTAAGAAAATTATACTTGTGAAACTCTTTATGGATTTCTTTCCGTTCTTGAAAAGTCATATGCAAATTGTCTTTACAGCCGAATCCAGGGATTCATACACATTCTTCTTTGTGTGTTTGTCAAATTCTTCTTTAGGTTAAAAAAAATTGGTAATTTAGGATTATCTTGTCTATTCATTCATAAGCGCATAGAACAGCCGACCAAAATCGAATTTAGCATCATTGCTAACTCTTTTTTTTTTTAAATTAAAAAGCAAAAGTAGAAAGGTTACTTTTTTTTTAAGGAAAACATTAACCCAAAAAAGAAAAAAAAAAGAAGGAAAAGTTTATTTCTCCATTGGTTTTTTTTTATATTTTTTTTACTTGATTTTTTTTGTTTTGCTTAATCATGAGCTTCATTTATAAAATCTACTGTCACTTTCTTGAAAGTATATTTATCAAAAAGTAGTAAACGAATTCCCATCAATCCGATCTTTGTCACTCCTTTGTTCTACTTCATTCATGGACTTGTAAACACTGTTTTTATTTGTTCAAAAGTATTTTTCCTCTTCACCAATTTCCTTTTGTTCTCTTTTTCTTATTTCATTTAAACGTAATTTAGCCTTTTTTTTTTTTTCAAGCAACAAAACACCATCATCATCTCAAACCATAAAAGAGTCGCAAATGAAGAAGAAATATTCATCCAGCTCCTTCTAGCTGGACAACAAAACACGATTATTCAACAGAAATTTCAATTGAATCATTTGAACAAACAAAAAAACTTTTAAAAAATGTATTAACAAGGAACATCCTAAACGGAAAACCCTTTATTACAATGAAACTAATAGGAACCCTAAAATAACTCGAAGGAACTAACTGAACAAGTTCATTAGGGTTTTCAAATAATTAGCTTCTTCAAATTAACTATTGTACATAAACAATCACAAAAATATAAGATATTAAAAAATCGATAGGTATACAATTCTTGCAATATGCATAGATTAAATTTAAAATATTGAGATTGAAAATTTACAATATTTCAAGCAATACTATACAACTGCACACCTTAAAAAACTAAATTCCTATTGTAGAAATCTCTAATTTGGGTTGTAAGAAATTTACTCAAAAATCTTTTGATCGCATGATGCATTTTGGTTCATGGAGCAAGGGGTCGATACGGTTTGATCCAGTTATTATACTTTTTCTATTGTTTAGTATATAATTACATTACAATAATGTGGTTTGATCCAGTTATTATACTTTTGTATTATTTAGTATATAATTACGTTACATTGTCGTATTTGAAATAAAAGTGACATGCATGAATAAAATATTTGATGTACATTTAATATAATATTATGATGTATTTATATATTAAAAATTTGAACATATACAATGATTGAAGGAGACCGCGTAAAATACAGTTGAGTTGCACTGAGCTATTGTCCCACTTTTGATTTTGCTCGACTAATCGTCATTCTCTGGGTCGGTGTTAAAGAGCATTGACAAGTTCGATTATAAATTCCATCTTTATCCCTATCGGAAAGCGCTGAGTCACCATGACTCGGCTGTGCTATAGCTCATAAGTACTCATTGGCTTTTGACTCCATCGCTATTGGAAAGGGCAACTTGAAAGTTGAAAGCGATCATCAATAAATCCTCTTACTGGTCTTGTGAGTTGTGACCTTTCTAGTAGGTTATCAACGTGTATACGTGTGCGTCTCACACAACAATTTATGACATGCGTAAAATATTTGGATTACTCCTTTTAGTCTTTGCTAATGAAATTTGTCAACTTTTTTTTTGTTTGGGGAAAATTGTCAACGTAAACCAATCATGCTCGCGAGAACACTGTAGTATACGGGGAAAAAGGCTGTTTTAAGGATGCAAAACGAGTCGGTTGTCATGATCAATATGTCATCATTGTCTATA